CAATTACAATAGGGCCTTTGCACGTTCAGTGCTCGGGCCCTAATTAATTACTGTTGGCGTAGTAATAACGTAATAAAATTTCTTTTGAAAAGAGTAATAAGTAATAATGAAATTTTCTGAGTAACGAGGCCAACAGTGGTCGTCACAATTATAGACTTTATATATGCATATATAAAGTTCTGGAAACAAACTCTTTATATGAAATGTTTGCAAAGTCAAACTGTCCTTTGTACTTTATGAACTTGCAGAATACTACTTTGTATGTTTGCAAAATTGTTATGCCTGATAGTTGAGACAAAGTGGTCATGCTTTAAAGCAAGTATCTGTAATTTGTGATATCAGGCACAATCTCACTGAGGACAACCGGATGTTTCTGTGACATCAAGAATCTGTGTCTCCAACTGTCATCTGCAGAACATCTGGTAGAGGTTTTAAAAAGTGATTTTGTTCCTTTGGAGTATCACATGCCTTGACTGTGCTGTGGATTAAACTACACTTCTGTTGTTATGAATTGTTTCATTGATTATCTTCTTTCTTTTTGTCTTTTATCCCTCTCTCTGCCCTGACCTCACCGACGCTTTGATGTGACCACAGAAAAGTCAGAGCTGGTACAATGTAAGTGCACTGCTTTCATACTGTCTACTGTCTTGTGTTTTTATACCTCAATATGATTTACCTATTGTCTCTAAAAACAGGTTCTGATGCTCATGTTAAATCAAAAATGGCTTTTTTTGTTTGTTGGTTTTGTTTTTCATAAGTTTGTTTTTCACCAACGTTTTATTTTAGCTACAATACACAATAAACAATACGTTATTTTGAATGAAATAAATGTTTGCTTTATGCATTACATTTGAACAACATTACATCTTTACTATTTTGACTTTAAAATCTTAGAGCAGTGATTCCCAACTTTTTTCCTAAAGGGACCCCTTTTCTATTATTTAGTAAATGGACCAAGTAATTTATTTTATTGATATTTCATATTATATTCAAAACTGTACCATGAACCAAAACAGTGAACTGACAGAAAGTTTGTGTAAGACAAGTGATTTGGATGATTTTTTAGTAGATTATTTGCTGTGAAATGAAGAAGTGAATCTTAATTTGTGTTCATATTTTTGCACAGTACATAGTTCCTTGTGTGTGGGTGGACATTTACTCAGGCTTCCATTCATCCCCTGTATCATAGTTCACCCAGCTTGTGTCTAGATTCAGCACAAAAGTGTGAGAACAGTCAGACACTGTCGAGCTGAGCTTCAAACTGCAGCTGAGTGTATCTCTGTCTCTGAGAGCAGAGCAGGATGTGGGACATGTTTGGTCTTTTTTATGAATGTTTCCTTTTCCCCCCTCTCCTTTAACCATTAGTCACATTTTCCTGTCAACGTTCAAATGATGCTCTTATTGTAGTGACCTACAGTGTAGTGAGGTGCATGGTCAGAGATGATACATATGCCCCTTAAGATATACTTTTGGGTAGTTTAAAAGGTTTTTGTGAGTTTTCAGAGGTAACTAATTGCACCACTGGATGCCCCTGATTTGCATTATGTAGCCTGGACATCAACTTTATGCAAATGAGGAGGTTCTTCTGCTAGCCTAGCAGCAGTGCTAGCTTGTATTATGTATTAAAAAAGTCTTAAATCTTGTCCATTTGTTATTCACCTGATAGAATTTTATTACAAAACCGTAATACAGACTGTAAGTCACATAACCAGCAGTGCGAACTATACTCTTGGTATGACACCCACAACCACGAATATGATCCCAAAAATGATAAAGTGAGATAGAAAAGCTGGAGCTGGAGTAAAATGGCTGGGGAAAAAAATTGGAAAGCATGACTGAAAAGATTGACAGAGAAAGAAAAGGGGAGTGGAGACTTCATCAGAAATGCACACCCACACACAAACACACACACACACTTGTGGGAAAATCTATGAGTGTGGGTTCTGTGTGTGTGTCTTTCTCAGACACACACACAGAACAAGTGAATGCGTCAGCATTCATGGGTGTTTCTGCGACACCTTCCAGCCTTCCAGCTGTGAAATTTTGGATTTAAGTTAATAAAAAAAATTTCAAATGATCCTTGATAAATATATACACATTGTTACGCATTTTGACATAACAAAATGTGTCAATAATGGGATAAAATTTATGAAGCATATCCTGGATATAAATGTGTGAAATGATGTCCCACAGCTTTAGTCTCAATATAGAGATACGTAAAATAAGCTAATTCAATCACAGTATGACATTATGACGGCTGTGGCTCAGAGGCAGAGCAGGTCGTCCCCTAATCGGAAGGTTGTTGGTTTCGATCTCTACTATTGTTATGCACTGAATAAAATATG